CTCAAAATAAGTGCACGTTAACTTTATTATTGTTTACCAGCTTCGCTACTTCTTTGCTATGGAGATGCCATGGTTAAGAGGCAAAAGGATATTACTAAAGCTATAACATGAAAATGATTATTCATGACGCTCTTAGTGACTTACTTTCTCAAATATACAAGTTTGCAATACTGCCAGTTGCTTGATCTTTTTATTTGACTGTATCACTTGCATACGGTCCTTTTATTGCCTGCATGTATGATTTCTTGGAATAATGCTTATGCCAATCTTGTGGTAAACATATTTTTCTAATTCCTAGAAGTCTGCTTAGACTGCAAACAACAACAACAACATAAATTCATGCTCCATGAATCACACTTACCATGCAATGTTATGTGCACAGTGAGTTAGACCATGAATAAACTCAATCAAACTTATGGGTATATTCTCAGTTAATATCCAACAAGTTTCAAGCAACTATGGCTTCTGGCTCTGGAGATTAATTCACATCAGAGATAGTCATTAATGGTGAGAATCACTCACTTCTTTCAGCTCCTAACCTTTCATCTCAACTTGTTCTTGCTTATAAAAAGATTTAGACCTCAAAAAATTTGTTGAGGACATGTTGGCAAGTTTATAAAAATAGCATACAATGGAATTAATGCAGCTGATCACCTGTTCTAATCTCTATGAATACATTAAGGATAACCCAGATTATAAGGAATCAAAGGAACATCTCCCTGCCCTTGCTGAAGAGTTCATAGCTATAATAAATGATGCAAAGGAAAAGATAGAACAAGAAGGAGCCAAGCAAACTATCATAAGTTAATTGATTATGTTGCTTCCGTAGTATTAGTATTGTTATGTACAAGGTTTTTAGTATTCTGCTACTTGCTGTTACATTATATCTGTACATAATATTGATCTAGTATTTAATGACTTAGCCCCTAGCTTTGTTTTTAATAGAATCAGCCAATTTTTTGATTCCATAGAATATATCCAACATTCACGTCTTGTTTTAACCCTAATTGTTAGTTCTACTGTATGACACAAAATTAAAATTATTTTTTGCATGCTATAAATTTTACCCTTGGACCCTGAAGCTGCTACAACTTGTGAGCAGAAAACCTCTCAAAAAGATACCAAAGTGTTGCTACAACAGAGAATCTCTACACAGTTCTACTAATAAAAATGCTAATAAAAATTGTGAATTATGTAACCCTCCCTTATAATCAGAAGGAGTCCAAATTGTTGCACTTAAAGTACCATGATTCTGAAAAATGACAAACATCATTAATAATAGTAGAGTTTAATTAATCCTCGCAAAATTGGGCCAATATTTTGCCTCCCATTTTTTATAAGTCAAAATCTTTCAATTAAAAGCTAAGAAATTTCAGGAGACTAAAACTTGTGTAGGTTATGACCATATAGGGGTAAGAACAGGGGCTAAAACCCCCTACCCAAATTTTTTTAAGTTGGGCTTAGCCTTCCAGCTTTAACAAGCAAGATACACATGAAAGACATAAACAGACATTCAATGGGTATTTAATGTGTTATTTTTACAGATGTATTAATATGATTTAAGCCCCTAAATTTCAAATTGCTTAATAGTTCTTAAATGGGACTTACATAATTAATGCATTATAATTCATAGTCAATGCTAGAGTAACTCCTGACTGTAATAATTAACACTCACTGTCCCTCGCTCTATTTTGTCTCTCCTTCTCACTCTCTCTCTCTCTCCCTCTCTCTCTCTCTCCTTTATAGTAAAATAAAAAAATAAAACTCTCTTCTGGAGATGATCAACTACTGCAACCTGATGAATTTAAAAGGTGACAAATACGTTACTATTAAATACATGTATGTGTGCATCTACAATAGAAGCTATACTGTATAGATCATTGATTGTTATTAATACGTAGTTTATTGATAAATTGTTCCTATTAATAGATATTATTGGTAGTAAGAAAAAATGACAGTACCTGAAATACTGGACTCATGAAGTAAACTCTTCTGGTAAGAATGCTGTCCCAAATAATGTATGCATGTATAATGCACTTATATACATGTATGTGTACATTGTACTAGTGTATTTGTACATGTAGTCCATATTATACTTACAAATGTGGTAAGCATTGTGTACATTCATGTGTGTACATGCTGTATGTTTCTAATATTATACTCCATGCTCTAATACACATATGCTTATATACTTGTACATATACATGTACATACCGGTATATACATGATACATGTACTACACTTACTTGAACATGCATGTTTTAATACGTATGTGTTTGTGCT